TATTGACATATGTTTTCCCTTTGCCGCCCGGCTTGTATGTATTTCGTTGAATTTCCTGTCGCCACTTCGGTGGGTGTGAACAGGGTTTTAATTTTCATACATTTTCCATTTTCCAGCGATCATTATTGGGTTGGGTTTTCAGTGACTGAGTGCTTTGGTTTGCATTTTGAACCGATTGAAAGTGAGAGGACAGCACACAAAAGTGAAGTTTATGGAGATTTAACGCCTTAATGAATTATGTATTTTTCTAGATTTTCTCTTTTGCTGGAGTTTTTCCAAGTAATGAAACCAAAATCAAAACTATTAAAATCAGATCTTGAAAGTGAGTTAAGCAGATGCAAGTTTTGGTTTGATGTAAACATATAACGTTTTTATGATGGCTAATGATTTTTATAACTGCTAATTTCTTTCTCAGCGAGTTTTGGGTGATAAAACCTTGCGACTGATTTAATAAAACTGTAAAATTATGTAAACTACAATATTTGTAAGCCATAAATATAAAATGAGAAAATGTGAGTTTATTGCTTAAATGTAAAACTCATATTTGCATTACATCCCCTATAAATTTTGATTGATTGTAAGTTGTAAAAATAAAATGTTTCAAAACTAAATGACAGAATTTAAATGCATTTAAGTTAACATTAATCGAAGTTCATAAATATAAAAATTCCTTAAAAATGTTATGTATTTCATTTTTGAAATTGTTATTAAAATAGCTTATATAATGTATTTTATGTTAAAAAGGCACTTGGTACTGTTAAATTCAACTAAGTCGACTTAAGGACTGTTCTTCTTTAATCGGCTTTATCATAACCTACTTAACTACTTAACAAGCGTTGAAAGCGACGCTTACCCCACATAAGGGCAAAAAAGTTGGAACAAAAAAATTGTGTCCAGGTGTTGCAACGCTTTTTCGTAACTCCTCTATGGCGTTCGCCAATAATTCACGACCCTGACGGGTTCGCTCTGCCTATGGGACGTGTCACAGCGCCGCAGAGATAAATTAGTTAATAAATAAAAGGGAAAAAATGCTAACTAATTTGCATATTTGCCCTTTGCGCGGTCTTATTGACAGTTGGGCGTCGGGCTTCAATGCCAAAAGCCAATGAGGCGCACCAAAAATGCATTTAAACCGAAAACGGGGCGATGGGTCGTTCCTCTACCCTTTTCGACTACAATTGCCATTTTGTGCTCCGTTCGCATTTTTAGTTTTTTCTTTTTTGTTTTTTTTTGTTGGTGTGTTCTACATTCTGTATTTTTTGGCGGGACGCAGAAATTTTCTATTTTTACTGTGCTAATTTGCATATGACAGCAAGGATGTGCGTGTGTGTGCTGGAATTTTGGCAAACTCTACTTCTGAATTGCCCTGCCAGCTTGTCTCGCCTCGTAGGTAGCGAAAGTGAAAGGATTCGGGCAGGATTCGAAGACCCAAAGGATAAGCGCACTGATTGCATACCGGAGACTTTTTTAACGGCCGCTGCATGCAAAATTGCAAAAATTGAAATTGCAGGAGGGCCACACAAAAAAAAAAAACGGAAGAAAATGATAAATGGCTGGGTTGCAGCCACAGGAGATTCGGATTTGCCTATATGCAATTTGCCTACACGGATAGATAGTTGACCTTGCCGAAAAGCGTATTAAAGGGTTGCTCGAGGGTTGTCTTCTGCGGCGGCCTCGTCTTCAGGACCTCCTCACCATCCTGTTGTTTTCTTAAGTGCTTGTCTCTCCGTTTTTTTGGCGCGCAAAAAATAATCGAGTGTTGGGCATATGGTAACGAGTTGTCCGAGGCTTCTTTTTACGCAAATGGATTGCAGCTGATGATGATGCCTTCGATGTGTCTCTCTAATGAAACGTTTGTTTGCAAATGAGCAAAATAGATAGATCCGGAAATGGGGTTGGGGTGAAGGTTGAAGGATGGCAAGGGGTTGGCTAGATGACGCTGGGATTATTTGCATGAAATTTACTTTGAAGATGATGTAGGTAGGACAAGGAGTGGATTAATTGAATGCCAGATTTTTAATCGATTCTCCTTGGGTTACCTATAAAATCAACTGGGGTTCTAAATAGTCGGGTGGAATCATGTTTCAAATGTTCGATAGCATTTGGATTTTCTGTCTTGAACTAAGGTTACATATTAATTTTAAGATTTTTTTGTCCAGGTTTTGTATTAATTTGCTTTAATTTGCCTTTTTTAAAGTAGAGTTACGACAAACACTTAAAGATACACGCCCACTCGCTGACTCCATTAAACTTTTGGCACATCCAATAAAATAATGCTCTTCATGCCCAAAATCCTGTTCAAACGCATTAAATACAGCTTAAACCAATAAAATGACTTTGCATTTGCCACAAATTAGTCGACGTGTTTTATTTCCCCACAAATATAGAGATTCGCATACTTATCGAGTGTGTGAGTGTGCATTAATTGTATTGCGCGATAAACAAAGCGATCAAGAGCAGACCAGTTTATATCTCTTGATTCGGAAATTATGGCACTTTAATTACCAAAGCAGACGTTGAGGTTTTCGGCTCATGCCTCACTCACACTCGTTTGGCGGGCGAGATGGCAAATTAATGCAAAATAAGAAAGAAAATTATGCTAATAATTATAAACAAGTGCGCCCCGAAAACGAGGTGTGAGATAGAGACAGCCAGCCAGAGAGGGAGACGGGTAGCTGGTGCGAGTAGATGGCCATATAAAAATGCAGCCGAAATGCTAATCGAGCTCATTATCATCCAAATCAACGGCGCCGTGGTTTCGCGGCCGCCACGAGAGATCTTCCATTCATAAACGCAGCTCTTAGTTGTATATATATTTTTCATCCTCATTTTTTTCACCATCGTATCGTTTTTTATTTACTCGCATGCGGCGCATAATTATGCAACAAGTCCTTTGCTGGCCACAAAAACCAAAAACGCGGCGCGTGCGCATTTAGCATATGGACAAAAAACGAAAAGCTGAAAAAAAAGTGACAGATTCACCGAGGGAGGATGGCCAGCAGAAACAGGATTTTTCCTTCGCTTCGACATTTGAAATTTAAATGCCAGTTTTTTTACTAACTCGCTGTTTGTTATTTAGCGCCGCCACCTAATTATCATGTAAATTTTTGTCTAAGGACCAACAATGACTGTGACTTTATTTTGTCACTGAGTTTTTTGTTTTTTTGGGTTGGAAACGGTTGGCTTATTAATTATGCCCAAGTGCGTGGCCAAAGGATATGGTCATGGACAAAAAAAGTCAACAAATTTCATGCAAATACGCCTCAGCTTGTCTGGCTTGCGTCTGCTCGGCTGGATGACCTTAGTTTGCATAATTTTTTGATTGAGCTCTTGACCTGCCTCAAAAGGGGTACACAACTATGCTAAGAATTTTGTGGTGGGTGCTAATGGGATTGAGAAATTGTGTGGCATAATATAGTAAAAAAGAGGTTGGTTTTTGTAATTTCAAACATTTTGTGCATTAATTTAGGGCGACTAGTGAGTGAAATAGAATTAAGTAATTTGTCTTTAATTTAGAAACGCGAATTCCGTTGATTAAGCTACTATCATTTCATTTTTATAGGCGTTTTACGACAATTGGCTTTCAAAGCGATGTATTTTTTGTTTGTGTCCAGAGTTTCATTCATTCATTGTTTAAGGAAACATAAGCTCTTTCTGATAATTTCCATTCGATTCTTCCCATTGTCCCCTAACGCTCCACTAAATCAAAAACCTTAAAACTGCACTTCCAGAAACAAAAGTCGGTATTCCAATGATTATTTTAACGTTTTTAAGCTATGCAAATTGCTCGCGAGTTTTGCATGAATTTCGCAAACCGACCAAAGAATCAATGAAACTGACGGATGAAGTGAATCAATATCTTTTGTCCAGGAAACATAATTTAACTGTAAACTAGTCAAAACACACTCACAAACACAATAAGCCAAAGAAAGATATTAAAGTGCAAAAGAAAGGTGTGTTTTATGTTGGCAAGCAAACGAAACTTATATGCATATGAAAAGAAAAACGATAAAATATTCACCGGTAATATGGTTACATTTGCATTCCAAAATGTTAAATACTAATTAATACTACCCAATAAGTTGTTAGGAATTTATGGTTATTTGAACAAAACTTCACTTTCTTAAAATCGTATTGATTAGAATCTCATAACTTAAAAAACAAACATTCCCAATTTAACACATTTCTTGAACATTTACTAGGGCACAGTCTATATAACGAATATTTTCAGAGGATTGGATTGTGCAGATCCAAGTGTAATATTCAATTTAAGATAATCAAATATTATCTCGGCAAATAACGTTTATGTATTATTACTATGCACTCTTTTTGTGCAAATAGTCGTGTTAACAGCACACTGATAAATAGGTAAATATTTGAACGCTTTATTTGTTTAATTCTCTTGCTTAGTAATATGTTCTCCAAATCGCAATGGCAACCAATCCAGATTTCCCCCTCCCAAACACACACACACACACACACACACTCACAAAGCTAAGGGAAAAGTTGTCTGGCCAAGGAGCTGCAAGGAACTGAAACAAAGCTCCCCGAATGGGAGAGAGAAGTCCTGGACGGAAAAGCTCCAACTGGGAGATGGCACCATGTGTAATCCCTGTGTTCCCGATAGCTGGACGAAGCTCGAGGAAATCGAGAGATGCGCCGTCGCCGTTCGTATCGTCTCTCGCCCTCTCTCGCTCGCACTGGGCACTGGGCAATTAAAAATGTCACTCTGCATGGGAATGCATTGAGGGAACTTCGTAGAGCCGGCTCTGGTATTATTTTTTTTCAGCTCTTCAATTTTTTTTTCTTTGGTTTTGGGGGCGTAACGCTGGAATACAGCGAACCCAATAGAGCGCAAGTCTCCCTTCCAGTTGCTTGGCTAAGCGTCTATCTCGCTTGCCGCACCAATGGCGGTGCTGCTCGCACCCATGGAACGCTGGAAGGCCAGCAGACAAACTGGTTTCGCTCGCCGGGGTGTGTGTGCGTACTGGGCTCGCCTGTGTGCGTAATCGTATCTGTGTGACGAGCCGCCGAGCGTCGAGAGCGCTCAACGTAGAGCTGCGGTGCGAGACATGACGTTAGTTCACTTCGATAGCTCTACGAGTCTGCACGTGAATTTTCCCTGGGCTCTCGGCTGTCTTGACTGCTCAAAATCTCACAACACACAATCTCAAATCTCAATCGGCAGCGAATCGGTCAACCAACCAACCAACTAACCAACCCAGCAGAAACACACATTCGAAATCTCAATCTGTATCTGAATAACAGAGTTCTGCGTTCTGACCACTGAGTTCTATCGATGATTTAAAGCGAAAAATCGCCCACAAAAGTGCCAAGTGTTAGAAGTGCTAAATGAAATAAATAAATAAATAACCAAATAAAACGCAGTTAGCCCCACGCTAGTCAAGCTAAATAAACGTGTTAACCCAAGCAAATTGCCGTCGGATTTTTTACTTAACCCAAAGCTGAAATAAACTTGTTGAGCGCGCTCGAGGGCCACGCCCCCCCCAAAAAAAAAAAAAAACCGTCGACCCTAAAAAAAGAAAATAAGCGATATAGAATATTTTTGCGCCTGCCACGTTGCCCGTAAAAGACGTCAAGACGGTTGCCTCACGGTTCGAGTGGAATGAGCATAGGGACCCTGGTCTTCCTTTCGATCGATCGGTGTACAAAGTCGTTAAACTGAGCCCCAACTTGGAGCCCTACCCCGCCAGCGTGGAGGGCCTGAACAGCCCCAGAGCGGTGGGGATGGCCGCGACCTCGTACATGACGCCGCCGAGCGGTGATCTGGACATGGCCCTCGGAGGCGGTGGCTATCACACCTCGTCGCCGCGTTCGGCGGCGGATGCCGGTGAGATGAAGTACATGCAGCACCATCATCATCATCATGCCGCCGCCGCGGCAGCTGCCCACCATCAGTTGCCCTCGTCGCCATCGCCCAATGGCCAGGGCAATGGTGGCGGTCTGGGATTGGGTCCCGGTTCCGGGTTGGGCTCATGGAGTGCCCTACATCCCGATCCGTGGATGCAAACCCATCATACGCACCATCTGCCCGCCGCCGCTGCCGTTGCCTCGGCCGCCGATACCGTCAAGCAGGAGATGTCGCATCTCTCGCAGCAGACGCGCATCCAACAGGGCATGGCCTCGCCCCATGCCGCCTGGCACGCCCCCCATGCGGGACACTATGCGCCCACGGGCGGATCACCGTTGCAGTACCATCATGCCATGAACGGAATGCTCCATCATCCGGCCCATGCGGCAGCAGCGGCCCATCATCAGAGTGTGGCGCCACTGCATCATGCGCTGCGCGGGGAATCCCCACAGCTGCACATACATCATCACATGGGCGGCGGCGACCGGGATGCCATAAGCGGCGGCGAGGAGGACACCCCCACGTCCGACGATCTGGAGGCCTTTGCCAAGCAGTTCAAGCAGCGCCGCATCAAGCTGGGCTTCACCCAGGCCGATGTGGGCCTGGCACTGGGCACTCTCTATGGCAATGTCTTCTCGCAGACGACCATCTGCCGATTCGAGGCACTGCAGCTGAGCTTCAAGAACATGTGCAAGCTGAAGCCGCTGCTGCAGAAGTGGCTGGAGGAGGCGGACTCCACAACGGGCTCACCCACGTCCATTGACAAGATCGCCGCTCAGGGGCGTAAGCGTAAGAAACGCACCAGCATCGAGGTGAGCGTGAAGGGGGCACTGGAGCAGCACTTCCACAAGCAGCCGAAGCCATCCGCCCAGGAGATAACCTCGCTGGCCGACTCCTTGCAGCTGGAGAAGGAGGTGGTGCGCGTATGGTTCTGCAATCGGCGGCAGAAGGAGAAGCGCATGACGCCGCCAAATACGCTCGGCGGCGACATGATGGACGGCATGCCGCCGGGCCATATGCATCACGGTGGCTACCATCCGCATCACGATATGCACGGCAGTCCGATGGGCACACACTCCCACTCGCACAGCCCGCCCATGCTGAGCCCACAGAATATGCAATCCTCGGCGGTAGCGGCGCATCAGTTGGCGGCCCACTAGCAATCAGAAATCCAGGAGTCGAACTCAGCTGCAGCTGCGTCCACTCCTGCATCCCTCAATAGTCTAAGCCAGCAGCAACAGCAGCAGCAACAGCAGCAGCAGCAGCAGCAACACCAGCAACAGCAGCAGCATCAGCAGCAGCAGCAGCACACACCGAATACGCCATCCTCCAGTGCGGGATCATCGGCTACGATGACCAGCCAGGTGATGTCGCCGCAAAGTCCGCTGGGCAGCTCCTCTGCTGGCAATCAGGCTAACAACAATAACAACAATAATAACAACAATAGCAGCACCAACAATAACAATAACAACAACAACAACAACAACGAGGAGCAAGTTAAACACCACCAGCAGCAACAGCAACAACAGCAGGCCTCCAGCATAGCAGCCGCTGCAGCAGCCGCCATGTACATGGATCCCATGCGCTACCAGCATCCGCACCACCCGCATCCGCATCCGCACCAGCATCCGCACCTGAATCCCGCCCACCATCCGCACCTGTTCCACACGAGCGATCAGCTGCAGCACTCGCAGCAGCAGACCGTCGGCGGCACCAGCAGCAATTCGCAACTGTCACCGGGTGCCGGCAGCAACAGTGGACTGCCGCTACAGCCGCCCAGCTCGGCCTCGCCGGCCGGATCCGCATCCTCGGTGCTCGGTGGCCATCTCAATCTGAATCCGCTGCACCAGCACCACCACTATCAGCACCACCATCACCAGCAGCACCACCACCACCAGCAGCAGCAGCAGCAGCTGCACGCCCGCCGCCTCTTCGAGTTGAGTCTGCAGTTTGGAGCGGCGGCGGCACCGGGAGCGGTACGGCACTTCAATAGCTTTGGCGGGGCGGGCGGAGCGGGTGGGGAATAGCATTCGTCGGCCGCCTGGTTTGGCTATGAGTCCTCCTAGGACTCGGCGTCGAACGGGTGGCCGCAATTCAAGCGGGAGCAGCCCTAGAATCGTACAGTCGAACTTCTCTAACGCGAACTTAGTTGGTTCGATTCGAATGATCCCAGCAGTAGCTATCTAAAATTGAACTAGCTATGCAAGTTTTAGAATACTTCGTAAGTCGAAAGAATATATTTGGAATTTTTCTTTAACTCAATTTTCAATTTCTGTGGTGTTTTGTAGTTTTTTTGAAATTCCGAACTACGATTTCACAGTTTTCTTTAAATCTGTTACTAAATTTAGCGACGGAAAAAATTATCTAAAACATGTATATTTTAACGAAATTTAAACAATATGTACCAGTTTGAGATCCACGTTAGACAAGCTCGACTGTATTCAGATCTTTAAAGAATAGAAATAAGATGAGGTCCGTCGATGAGGTTGAGAAATCATCTTTTTTACCAGTGCATTAATCTGTGTTAAACTTCAGCTTAAATAGGAGCAGGGAGTGGAGGAGATGGGGAGGCTGCCATCCACCATTTTAGTTTGTTTGAAAGTTTGAAAAACTTGCTTAAATTAAATCAAATTAACTAAATTAAAATCTAAACGAGAATTTCCTTTGTATAAAAGCGAAAGAAACACGCAATTCAAATCAAACGTGAAACCAAGTGATGTTGTTTTAACCTAAAAACTAAATGCTAAAAAATTAAACTAAATGAAAAACTAGTTAAAAGTGCGACCCAAGTGTTAAAGAAACCAAAAAAGACAAGCAAAGAAAACAAATTCCTCAGCTGCTCTCCATAAGCAAGGTAAATGTTTCCATGCCCAAAAGTCCACAAAATATTTTTTCGTTCAACACTTTGTCGCCGTTTAGATCAAGTAAAAAAGGCTCAATGAAAACGCAGGCAGCAGTAGGAGAACTCGGTGGGTTCTAGATAGGGTTTAGGTTCTTAAGCAAGCCGTGTTTATATATATTATATATATATAGCCAGTAGATTGTACTCTAAAAACTCTATAAACAAACAGAACGTAAAACACAAAAAGAAAAACGTAGAATTTAACGCGCGGCGAAGTAAACAAAAATACGAGATGAAGAAGGATTAAGTAAAATATGAGAAAAAAAACCCAAAACATCTGTAAATAAAAACTTACAGTTAAGTCATATTTTTTAGCTTTAAATGCAATTGTAGATTTTTTAATAAGCCCCCTAAGAAAAAAATCATAAAAATACAACCACAAGCGAAAAAAAAAACAACATTTACAAAATATAAATTTTAATTTTTAGGCGGTAATTTTTAATGAATAGGCACGTGAAGTTTAGTTACTTAGTACTGTACTTTCTATATAAGCAAGGAAATCGAATGGAAAACGAAAAAGAATATAGCTAATTCTTAAAATTTAAAGAAACCAATAATAATCAAATACCACAAATGCTAAATTGTAATATATAAATTGATGTACATTAAAACAAAAGGCAAACTAAATGCTAAACAACAAACTTGAAATTATTTCAACAACAAAAATAAACGAAAATTGTGTAAAAAACTCCTCTTTGTGTTTTTTGATATACGTTTACATTTTAGTCCACCTTTTCTATTTTCTTATATACAAAACTAAGAAAACACAAACCCTATCTTTTGGTGTAACTTTATATTTTAGAACTTAACGAAGTTTTTGTTTAGTGTACTTTGTTTTGGTATGTTGAAAACTATGCTGTAAGAGCGAGAGAAGCGAAGCCGAATATTTAAGATTAAGCCATGCCCTCAACTGTATAATAAATTATATAGACGTACATATTATATGCAACAGCAAAGTCAACAAAGCGGTGCATTTCCACCCACACACACAGACACACATCCACACCGAGGAAAACCAGAAGAAAAAACTGAAAAGCAACAAAAAAACTCTTAAAAAACAAATAAAAAAGAATATTATTCGAAAAAAAGCATCGTCCTTTTATTATTATTTAATTAGCGTCATCATTAATTTGCATTTACTTTCGTCTGCTTTTTTGTTCCGAAGTTTATGAGTCGTTGGTTTTGACAGTTTTACAGGAGTTTTACGGCCACCTTTTGCAGATTCTGGTTACGATAGGGCGTTTATATCGATGAAATCGCGATAATTGCGTGTATTATTAATTTCGTTTGTTTGCTTAAAGTGTTCGGAAAGCCATTAAATAATTAAGTGGGCACATTATAATGCGATTGCCTACGTCAGAGAGCGAGCAATTGGCAATTAACTAAGAACACCCCTCGCAAATCGAGTTATTCCGCTCGTTAATGAAAGTTGCCATTAAAAAGCGTGGCATTTCGTGAAATTACCCTTTTATAAGGCCTTAAGTGCTTCTGGAAGTACTTGATGGATCTCTGTTTGTCCCTGGTCAATGCACAATCGTTGAAAACAAAAATACCGACGTCAATCGGCAGGCGATTAAAGTGACAATTTGCCAGATTTACGCGGTTAACTTAATTTTAAATCTTACGCAACTCTGTTGGAGTTTGTAAGTGTAATTTCATTTACAGAAATCATTCAAAACTTTCCATATGCACCTATAAAATATCAGTACCTTTTAAAGATGTTCTTAAATTTCACATCATTTAAGTGGTTTCCAAATTACTTCACGAACTCCGAAAATGAAAAACAAATTCATAAAATACCATTAAATTCGTCCCATTCCATTTGCACATTGCCCCCTGGCCAACTCATTGCCATCTAATGTGCTGCACGCTTTTAACATTTAATTCATAATTTAAATGCATATTTCATTGGATGCTGATTAAAAATTTTGTGCCGAAATGATATTGGTTAGTAATTCTGCATAAAAATTGCATCAGCCTGTAAATATATACATATGTACATATAACCCGAGCCCTCACTCGCTTTTGTGTGCGAAATAAATTCGCATAATTGAAAGCCAGTTTTAGACTTAAATATATAAACAACGACTGCCCCAAAAACAATATAAATAACAATAACAGTAACAAACAACAAATAATAACAATAATATATATTATACAGAAGCGCAAGTGCAATGATTTTTATTTATGCGACGGCAATAATGCCGTTTAAACAAAACAAAAATGCCAGTTGTTGTTTCTGTTGAAATTGAACTCTTGGCGCGCGTGGTTTATAATGTTTTCAATAAAGCGTACGGCAAATGGAAAATGGAAAATAAAAATGAAAATTATATTTTCCGCACCATACTAAGCAAAAACACCCACGCGATGCGCTTCATGCACTTGAACAATATAATATCGACAGTATTATATTATCCACCCATATAATTATTCTCTATGCTCTCTTAATTATTTTCTAACAAAAAGGAAAAAAAAGAAATAATAGACGGCGAAATGAAATGAAATTTAATGGGGAAACAACATGGCTGCCCACAAGCCTATTTATACGTTTATCTATTGCCACCTGCCATTTTGGGGTAGTTGAACACACACAACAACACACACCCACTCGTGTAGATGAAACCTGCCCCTCGGGCTATATAAACTTGTATATGGAAAACGGGAAGGAAAGGTTTTTAATGGTCATGTGCTGGTTGAAGTGCGCTTTAAGAATTTATGGGATTTTCGGAGGATTGTCCAAGAGAAATTGGGGAAATTCCTCACTGATTAATCATGGCTAATGGATTTGCGGTATTTAAATGTGAGGTAATGTGAGCTATTTCTATATTATTACTTATTACATATTATATATAATATATAACAGCAGTTTTACAGTTTCTTAATAGAAATCGGAGAATGCTGATTAATCTACCTAATGGCCTATTTTAATATGCGGATATATCTTTATTTTCCCCTCTGCCTAATGAAAATTATACTACCATTTTATAGTCACTCCACAGTTAAAAAGCACATTCCGCATTATTCGATGATAAAGAAAAGCCACTAATCTACGAGGGCAAATTGTAGTTTTCATTGGTTTTAATGGTGCCGTGCGTGCAAAGTGCGACAGCGGTGGCAACACCCCCTACACACCCTCCCCTATACGTATATATATATATATATATAAACCCCGACCATATCTATAGAAGGAAACAGAGGCAGAAACCCCTCCTCGAGGCAAATACCGACATTTTCATTATTATTTCGAGTGGAGTTGGTTGGGTTTTTATTATTTCGCGTGGCAAAGCAACACGCCGCCTGCTTTTGTACATTTCACTGTGTGTGCTTTTTGGGCTGCGTGCATACAACCGTGTCAATAATTACCCGTGGGACTGACACGACCAACGAGAATCATTCAAATGTTGCAAAGGCAGCAGAAGCGGCAGCAGCAGCACCACCAGCGCTCCACTAACAATGGCTAAAAACAAAAGCCACAGCGGCAGCAGCAGCAGCTGAGAGACACTGAAGCTGGTGAGCCGGCAGCAGAAGTTGGTAACGGAGAATCGGGCCACAATGGTCTCGGGCATATTGCCATTGTGGCAGTACTGCCGCAACTCCGGCAAAATGGCTGACTCTAGTCAAAGTCACCCGAAAGCCAACTGACGAACTGGCCGACTGACCATCGCACAGGAGCGGATTATCTACGCGTTTTGTCCGGGCTTAAAACTTGCAAATTCCACTTTGATATACTCCTTACCATTTACAAGCTAATCAATATCATATTATAATGCTTGTCAATTTATTCATATCAACATTTATAATATTAAACATATGTGCTCAAACAAGTTTACATTCTTCCAGGAATTAAGTTATATTATTTTATTATTATATATTATATTATATTATTATATTACATATTATTTTATTTGAACTTAATAATACATAGTAGTCTGTTGGCCTTAATTTACCACATGTTTATATGCGTTGTAATAAGTTTAAAATCATATTCCGTTTCTAATTATTTAAAGAGATTCTTTTCAGCCCCCCAAAGTGTCAAAATCCGCTCCTGTGATTGGGCCGCACTTTCTGTCGGTGTGACTTTGGCTTTTGGCTCCGGCTGGGCGACTTTTCCACTGCCATTCGGAGTGTCGGGGATTCACTGCTCATTATCTATGCTTCCTTTGGGAATTTTCATTTTCTTTTTCCGCGCTCCTCTGTTTTTTTAGGTTTTTTTTTTTTGTATTTTCAGAGCTCTGGACGTGTGCGTTCGTGTGCGACATTTCTGCAAAGGAAAACAAAAGAAAAGACGAATGAACAGCACTATCCGGATGGGAAGTGCTACGTATTGCGTATATTAAGTTATATAGGTGTACTTGGATATTCTTGTTTCGTTCCGAGGCAAATCAGTGCGTTTGGTATTGTAAAACCTTGCGCTAATTACAAAATTTATTGCCTCTTAACGGAGCCCTCGAAAACGTAAGTCAAGAGCGTTGGAAATTCTTTTTAACTACCCACAAAAAATGAGATGTATGTATACGTAGAATGTGAGATACTCCCACCAGCGAATTAAGCTGTGACTGCGTGCAAAGTGCATTCGAAACAAGCCACAAATTGGGATGAGGCAGGTGAAGGTGGTGCAGGTGGTGGTGGTGGTGGTGGTGCTGAAGGT